TCGTCAAACAAGGACAAGCCTGCAGAAACCAGTGGTTGAACAAAGGAAGAAGCTATGGTAGTAAAACAAGGACACGCATGCAGAAACCAGTGGTTGAACAAAGGAAGAAGCTATGGTCGTCAAACAAGGACAAGCATGCATAAACCAGTGGTTGAACAAAGGAAGAAGCTATGGTCGTCAAACAAGGACAAGCCTGCAGAAACCAGTGGTTGAACAAAGGAAGAAGCTATGGTCGTCAAACAAGGACAAGCATGCAGAAACCAGTGGTTAAACAAAGGAAGAAGCTATGGTCGTCAAACAAGGACAAGCATGCATAAACCAGTGGTTGAACAAAGGAAGAAGCTATGGTAGTAAAACAAGGACAAGCATGCAGAAACCAGTGGTTGAACAAAGGAAGAAGCTATGGTCGTTAAACAAGGACAAGCATGCATAAACCAGTGGTTGAACAAAGGAAGACGCTTTGGTGGTCAACTCCTACTGGATAAGGCGAGCATAAAGACCAAGATGGCTGAATCATGGAAGGGTGGAGCACAAATGGTTCAAACCAATGTGGCTGGATGTCGATACGGACAACAACGACACAATTATGGATTTACAGTTTTCAATATTACATACGTACGTAAATATCAATGAACACTGGCATCATGAGGGCTAATAGATCAATGGGGCATGTTGAGGGAACGTCAGATAAAAGAAAGGTAACATCTGAGTAGAGGAAGTTGAATGGTCGTGTACCACAACGCAGAACAATACAACATCGGAGAGGTAATGCACAAACAGGCGTACACACACGCACAAACAGGCGTACACACACTTAGAGTCACCAACTGGAAAGAAAGCTTTAATCACAGAGATAATCGAGGCGGATGTCACTGCAGCAGAGAACCCAGGAGTTCGGAATGCTGAATAGGAAACTTACAAACGCATAAACAAATATCACTTTAAAAAAAAAAAAAAATGGGTGCTCCACCATTAACATCGCCGTCCTTGCACAAGTTATAAATAACGCCAACAAAGAAGACCATAGACATGACTGTGCCCAGTAAAATCAGAGCGGTGCTGTTTCTCACAGGTGGCATCGGCTGTGCGGTGGCCGTATTATCTGCAATAGCAACAACACGGAAAGCTGTAGCAACAGGATAAAGCTAGTGAGTTAATGAACAGATCATGTTCGTTATAAATCGAACTACCAGTCTATAAATAAGTTTCAAGTGTAACTTGCAAGTCCTAATTTTTTTAGGGAAGGGGGGGGGGTGGCTGATCACCCACTGTCCCAGTAGATGCATGACGTAAAAGGCGCCTTATTAGAAGTTTCATTTACTTTCTGCTGTTGAAACATCACATAAAGCTTCAGTGACACTTGACAATTCGTCAGTTACCAAAAAGTTACCAAACAACTCATCTCTTGTGTACATGGAGACAAAAGCCCGTAGATTCCAAGTTAGTTACTAAACAGTTATAGTTAGATGGGAATTGTTAATCTAAAACACAAGATGAGTTTATCACAAACACAAGATGAGTTCATCACAAACACAAGATGAGTTTAGCACAAACACAAGATGAGTTTATCACAAACACAAGATGAGTTTAGCACAAACACAGGATGAGTTTAGCACAAACACAAGATGAGTTTAGCACAAACACAAGATGAGTTTAGCACAAACACAAGATGAGTTTAGCACAAACACAAAATTAGTTAGCTCAAACACAAGATTAGTTTACCTCAAACACAAGATGAGTTTATCACAAACACAAGATTAGTTTATCACAAACACAAGATTAGTTTAGCACAAACACAAGATTAGTTTATCACAAACACAAGATGAGTTTAGCACAAACACAAGATTAGTTTAGCACAAACACAAGATTAGTTTAGCACAAACACAAGATTAGTTTAGCACAAACACAAGATGAGTTAAGCACAAACACAAGATTAGTTTAGCTCAAACACAAGATTAGTTTAGCACAAACACAAGATGATTTTAGCACAAACACAAGATTAGTTTATCACAAACACAAGATTAGTTTAGCACAAACACAAGATGAGTTTAGCACAAACACAAGATGAGTTTAGCTCAAACACAAGATTAGTTTAGCTCAAACACACGATTAGTTTAGCACAAACACAAGATGAGTTTAGTTCAAACACAAGATTAGTTAGCTCAAACACAAGATGAGTTTAGCTCAAACACAAGATTAGTTTAGCTCAAACACAAGATTAGTTTAGCACAAACACAAGATTAGTTAGCTCAAACACAAAATGAGTTTAGCTCAAACACAAGATGAGTTTAGCACAAACACAATATTAGTTAGCTCAAACACAAGATTAGTTCGCTCAAACACAAGATTAGTTAGCTCAAACACAAGATTAGTTTAGCACAAACACAAGATTAGTTAGCTCAAACACAAGATTAGTTAGCTCAAACACAAGATTAGTTAGCTCAAACACAAGATTAGTTTAGCACAAACACAAGATTAGTTTAGCACAAACACAAGATGAGTTTATCACAAACACAAGATTAGTTTAGCACAAACACAAGATGAGTTTAGCTCAAACACTAGATTAGTTTAGCTCAAACACAAGATGAGTTTAGCACAAACACAAGATTAGTTTAGCTCAAACACAAGATGAGTTTATCACAAACACAAGATTAGTTTAGCACAAACACAAGATGAGTTTAGCACAAACACAATATGAGTTTATCACAAACACAAGATTAGTTTAGCACAAACACAAGATGAGTTTATCACAAACACAAGATTAGTTTAGCACAAACAGAAGATTAGTTTAGCACAAACAGAAGATTAGTTTAGCACAAACACAAGATTAGTTTAGCACAAACACAAGATGAGTTTATCACAAACACAAGATTAGTTAAGCACAAAAAGAAGATTAGTTTAGCACAAACAGAAGATTAGTTTAGCACAAACAGAAGATTAGCTTAGCACAAACACAAGATTAGTTTAGCACAAACACAAGATGAGTTTATCACAAACACAAGATTAGTTTAGCACAAACACAAGATGAGTTTATCACAAACACAAGATGAGTTTAGCACAAACACAAGATTAGTTTAGCACAAACAGAAGATTAGTTTAGCACAAACAGAAGATTAGTTTAGCACAAACACAAGATGAGTTTAGCACAAACAGAAGATTAGTTTAGCTGAAACAGACCATACCCAAAACTTTACTAACATCTTAAGTTAATGAACTGCGATGTTTGTCCCATGACTGCTGAATAATTATGGACTATATCATCACCTCTAGCAGCGAAGTTTACCCCAGGAGACAGAATCCTCAATACCTTCCCATTTTCAGAATTGTTCAACAGTCCCCCCCCCCTCCCCCTTCCCTTTGGAAAAAAAGGGGGGTGGGGCACCGGACTTTTAACTGTTTCCTGACAAAGGTCATGTAATTAGATCTTACAAAGACAAAATTCGAGGGCTCAGTAGAAAGGAGAGACGAGATAAAGCGGACCTAAGGAAGACCTATATACAGAACTGGACCATCCTTAGGTACGCAACCATGAAAACCATTGCACCTGATGTTCAAAGGTAGAAGTAGCTGATCAGACAGTTGTAACAGGGTGACGTCATCACTTGTTCGTCAGGGGTTAGGATATTGCGTATCAGATGAAGGAACCGAAATCAACTGGTCTTAGCAATCTGGCCATTCCTTTCTAAACCATCATTTGTTTATTAGCAAAGAGTTATTTGCAAATCAATAACCCCGTTATAAATATAGCTTCTGATGAAATCTTTGAGATTGAGAGACCATCATCATCATCACTATCCATACGACCATCTTTCTCCTCGTCTTTTTTCTTTCAAATGACTCCTCCTGTAGCCAAATAAAGACGAACTTGGGTGTGACAACATACACGTAGACGACAGCTAAGCTTCACGGTCAATATCCACTGGTGACCCAGCGACACGCAATGTTACGGCATGATGATGATGATGATAATGATGACAATGATGATGACGACACATAGTGCCACACTGAGAACGAACCAACAAACTAAATTTTCAAAGGATTGAGGATTGGTCTGACAGACCTGTCTAATATTCGGCCCTTTTGATTTAACTATTTACGTAAATTATCCCAACCTCATCTCAGCTTTAACTGTTAGTCACACCTACTTGGGTATGAGAACAGCATTCACAACTCCCAAACCACAGATGCCGACAGTAAGCAAACAACTGAAAAACATTTACTGCAGCAGTGATGTGGTTTCTGAGAACAGCGAAAGGATATCAAGGAAGAAAAGAAAAACAAACGAAGCAGTCCTCATGGAGACAGATGAAAATCGTAAACGTATTAGAACAATTAGACACAGACAGTCAATGATGTTGGAATATGTTTTGAGAAGGAGAACCTATTAAGAACTGGTGAGATCGATGGAAGAGAGCAACAGGAAGGCAAAATGATAAATACGTGGATGGCTTGGCCAAATGGATGGACGAAAAAAAAAACGAAAAAAAAAAAAAACACTCTCCGAACTGATCCGGGATTGTGGTGATCGTGTAAGATGGCAAAACCGGCACGGCAAGTGAAAATAATGACTAGATATTTGGGAGAAAAAAGTGCAGGAATATTCCAATCTACAACAATGGGCGAAATTCCGCAGCCGATATCAGATGTTGGGATGCAAGATAAGAAAACGAAAACCAAAATTAGAGATAGGAAAAGACAGTTAAACCAGTCAACACACAACCCCCCCCCCCCCACACACACACACACAACCACATATACATACACACACATACACACACACGGGCACAGACAATCGTACCTCCGAGAGGGCACTCAAACACCTGAGAACGATTGCAGCGATCCGTGTATGTGAACTTCAAAACCAAACCAGAGTCGTTCTGCCCTGGCTGAATGAAGTAGCGGGCGCACTCTTGATTCACATAGTACTTGATGTCGTCCTCAGCAAATGCAATGGTTAGAACTGGAGACTTCAAGTTCTTTGTGCAGAAGAGGATGTCTGCGTTACCGGAGAGAGTCCTGCCATTGATCGGGCATGCGTAATGACCAGACAGCGAGTGGGATGTGTTGTTCACTATCAAGGAGCAACTTGCCTCGCCTAAAACATCAAAGAAACATGTGAGCAGACTGGGGCATCAACTGTACAGACAGCATTTCAACCAGTGTTATTGTGTATGTTAATTATACCTAATGCAAAGCAAGCTTGGAGTTTTCTACGTCGGCAGATACGACAGTGAAACATGGACAGTTGGACGATTAGTCGGGGAGGGGAGGGAGGGAGGGAGGGGGGATTTGTTGTTTTTCAGAAGTAAGACGAGAAGGCCCTGGATAGATTTAAAAAAAAATTGTGTCTTGAAAGTAACTGACTCAAAAAGAGAATTGGCAGCTCACATCAGAAAGAGATCATCTACATTCGATGGTTATGTCATTAAAAGGAGGAAAGTGAAGTCAATCTTGATGGTAGGATCATCTACAATCTTTGGTCATGCCATGAGAAGGAGGAAAGTGAAGTCAATCCTGACGATGGGATCATCTACATTCTTTGGTCATGTCATGAGAAGGAGGAAAGTTGAGTCAATCCTGACGATGGGATCACATCTACATTCTTTGGTAATGTCATGAGGAGGAAAGTGGAGTCAATCCTGATTGTGGGATCATCTACATTCTATAATACGAACGAACGAGCAAACAAACTTTATTTTCGAAGAGTTACAAATTGGGCACGCAGGCCCGTCTGACATTCGGCCCTTCTAAGAACTCATTTGTCAGTGTGCCAATGCATGTTATGGATATAATAAAGAAATATACATTATTTCATACACACATCATGTGTACACAATCTTACACACTCACACATACGTATATATACTATTACATTCTCATACATGCACATTCATATACAGACATACCTAACACATACATACACATTCTTTGGTCTTGTTATGAGAAGGAGGATAGTGGAGTCAATCCTGACGGTGGGATCGTCTACAATCTTCGGTCATGCCATGAGAAGGAGGATAGTGGAGTCAATCCTGACGGTGGGATCGTCTACAATCTTTGGTCATGCCATGAGAAGGAGGAAAGTGAAATCAATCCTGACGGTGGGATCGTCTACATTCTATGGTCATGCCATGAGAAGGAGGAAAGTGGAGTCAATCCTGACGGTGGGAAAGTTTGAGGGCAGGAGAGGCACAGAAAGGTGGATCGAGAAGAGGCTGAACAGTTTGACATGGTGGCGTGGTTGATCATCTGTGTCAGACTTTAATTAAAGTACACGAAGCAGAAGGTGTTGGAATGACATGACTATATGCGCCACTCAGGGCTAGATTAACATTTAAGCACACGTGCTTAGGGCATCACAAAGGGAAGGGCACCACATACAATTTCAGTAGCCTCTGATCTAAGCGGTTTTTTTCCCCCTCATCTTACAAAATCCTACTAGAACATCAAGGCAAGCTGAATGCCTTATTTCCCGTGTGGGTTCCGGACCCCATTGCTAGGAAAACCAAAGCAGATCCACTGTCTCATCAACAATCATGTCATAAGAGTTGACAAACTGAGGACTTTTCATAAAACGGAGATGGAAAGAACATCTAAAATGCACTCAAAAAAAAAAAAAAAAAAAAGAAAAAAAAAAAAAAGCCAGTAAAACGGATGTACACGCAAAGCTCAGGTCTTAGCACGAAGCCAAAGTCCAAAAAGACGAACAATCAGGAATTTACTTATGAACTTACAACCGGTGAACAAAGAAGAAGGAGGAGGATGCATGACCTAGATTCAGCCTAGAAGCAGATGTGTAAACAAATATTAGTTTCCAGGATCTGATCACAGACTTTGCAATTAAATAAAATGGGTAAGAGAAACCTTTTCAAATATAAATAAAGTTGAAGTATACGCATACATACTCATCCATACAGATGTATTCATACCTACACTCCCAAGCATACCCACACATGCATGTTTACACTCAAATTTATACATATCACTACCTATACAAACACCCACACGTAAAACACTCTTACATATCCAAACATTTACAAACATCTATACTTGAAACACTCTTTCAATTCCTAGGACATCCAAGGTCTTGAGATGAGCTGCATGCCATAGCCAAAGACAAGACGACTTGGCGTGAGCTGCTTGAAGGAAAATGCTTCATTGAGGGCTGAAGGGCATACACAGACATTCATGGAAACTGTAACAATTGAACACCACGGAGATAATGCAGAGGACTCAGACACATACAAACAATGTTTCTATCACAGATGCGATGTCAAGCAGTCCAAGCTCGGCTACCTGTTACCTGTTCAACAGTGAGCTCTAGTTGCAGAAAAAAAATATTTTGACACAAAAGCAAAGAAAGAGCCATACCATAAATGGGTGGAATGCGCACAAAAATCAAATGTTCATGTCCACTATTGGTCCATTTGAATCGCAGCCGATAGTAAGTACAGTTTGTCTTTTCTGTTGCTCTTTGCTTGATGTACAGTTGCAATTCTTGTCCCCCATCGTTAGCTTGATTGCAATAACACCCCTCCGCGGTATTGTTCTTGCAATCAGAGCTCTTAAAGATGGCTTTACACACCTGAAAGTAAAAAAAAAAATTCTCTCTCTCTTTCTCTCTCTCTCTCTCTCTCTCTCTCTCTCTTACTTACACACACACACACACACACACACACACACACACATAAGGTAATAGTAGCATTTCGGGTAAATGTTACAGAAATCAGTGAAGATTACGGGAATCTCCGTATCTCGGTTAGCTGCGCCCATTGACGCACTAGGTCACTTTTTATTTATACTTTGTTAAGCTCGTCAACTTTACTGAATATTACGGGGGTGTCTTGGTGTACTGTTTGCTCGAAAAGTTTGTGTTAGGGCAGTTCTGCATGTTCTTGTTGCGTTAAAAGCACTGACGTGCTGGAAATACTACACGCGATATCAACGGGGTTGTATATTCCAGCACGTCTGCGCTTTTAACGCTACAAATCATGCAGGACTGGCCCTAACACAGCCCCCCCTCCCCCCCCCACTTCCTCCATGAGAGTGCTGCAACCTATATCACACGCATTCTCTTTCTCGGAATGAAAACGAAAAGGAAAGACAACGCAGAAAACGTTTCGAGCAAACAGTACACTGGAACACCCAGTAACCTTCAGCAAACTTGACAAGCATGAGCGAGCACCAATCAAAATTGACCTAGTGTGTAAATGGGAGGAGCTAACCCAAACTGGGGAGATTTCCGTAATATTCACCGCATTTTGTATGTCTTCCATGGCATATAATACAAGGCGACCACAGTCAGAGCTACGGGTTTTCAGTACTTCTACACTCAATGGCATCTAAGACAGGTGATTATGGCTAGCGTCAGCTTTGTGTTGTCCGAAGCTGACATGTCTCAATGGAACAGTGACTCCCGCCCAGTTCACAATCGTGAATGTGTACGCCTGTAACGAAGGGTCGACGTGCGGCAATGGCAGCATTTGCTTGCGCCAGGGGAAAGAAACATCATTCATTGCGGGGACTTTAACATCAGAGGTAGCCAGTGGGGTAATGTCATCACCAATAAACAGGTGGGAGATCTGGAGGAGGCCTTGGTATCTGCTGAACTGGTATGTTTGAATGACGGACAAGTCACTAGATTAGCCGCTCGACCAGGTGATTTTGACAGTGTGATTGATTTGGCTCTAGTGTCACCCACCATCGCCCCTTGTTTGTAAATGGTGTACACTGGGGTACCATGATAGCGACTACCTGCCTTGTTTTGTCTTGGTTGAGAAGTGCGGAAAAAGCAGTTAGAGAAACAGAGTACTTTCCAGTATGATAACACAGGACCGGATGCCATCATCAAAGTTAGACGCTGCGAAATAAAAAGCCTCCCACAGACAGAGAAATAAATGGACTCATCAACCATGGTGGAATGAAGAAGTTGAAAGGGATATGGTTGGAAAAGAGGCAGACCGTCAAGGCGTGGCAGAAAGTCAGGAAAAGTAGCACGTCGCAGTCTGAGCTCCAGAGTGACATGAAATATAAAGTCAATAAGTCAATGATGACTTTCAAGCTATGTGCAAGGAAGGTCAAGAATGAAAAAAGGGGTCGATTACTGTAGGAAGGTGGGCTCTGAAGGGCCTTTTGTCAAAATTGTCGCGACTCCATCGGGCAATGAGTGGCACCACACGAGGTCTGGGTATCCCAGACTTTCAAAGCTGAGTTCTGACATGGCAGATATTTGATGCAAATAAAGGACAGGCCTCCTTCAACGCTACTTAGACCAGACCGACCAGAACGATGAGGCAGCGAGACTGTAAAAAATATGTACAAGATGTAGCACGTAGACTCGCTGATGACTTTGAGAACCATGCAGGTTTTTCGATTACACAACCTAATAAGTATTTGGTGACTCACAAGCAAGTAATCAAGGTCAAAAACTTGAAGGCACGCATTTTTCCCTGTAACAATGAACGAATGTGAGTCGTGGACGAAACCGCAATAGTTACTAAAGAAACTAGAGTCTTATCAACTAAATTAATATAGGGAGGTTCGTAGAAGTCTGTTTTCTAGCAGACGGGAGTGAGGGTGACGTTTTGCAAGGCTTCAGTCCTACGACGTTGATCAAAAATAAACCAGGGCAGCGCACTGGCTAGCTGATCGTTTGCTTTGGGAGGTTCGAATCCGCGCAGTTACACAAAAAGATTGCGTGTATATTCAAACCTATCTGTGTAAATAATTTATTATCGGCATCAGCTGACATGTGTGAATCGCTGGTTGCAAATGTCAACTTACATCGTTAATTATTGGATACGCTGTCTGTTTTCTTGTAAACAGTTTTTTGCTTTCTTCGTTTTTTTTTTCTTTTAAACTGCTCTCCAAAACAATCATAAGAAAACATAGTTTGGGAAAATTATGCTGTTTTGTGTCAATATTGAATGAAAATAACTAGCAGAAACATGCAGGCAGTGGGTTAACACACATACATACACACACTACACAATTCTTGGAAGATTCATGGAAATGTAAACCCCCGCGAGTGATTTGTTATTACTGTTTACCAACAGCTGTGAATAATTGTAAGGGTCATTACGTAAAGGCTGTGTTTTGAATGGCAACTTTAAAAAGTAAAAAGGAAGAGCTGCTACATTGCAAGCGTCACATTGGTTATAAATGCCAACTTACGAACTTAAATGTTTGGTTATCAGATGTAGAATCGACTTCAAGACTGTACAGTGTTTGGTTATCTGCGCCGCCCTGCATGTCAATGTCTCCAATAATGCTTATGTCGTCGTCGTTTTCAACCAATCCCCAGTCACAAGATGTAGGCATGAGAGAGAAGTTGAACGTCTGACTTCGAGCAGCTGTGGATTGTTGTAGATGAGAGTAAAGAGGTAGACATATTAGAGAAGTTGAACGTATGACTTTAGGCAGCTGTGTGAATTGTTCTACATGAGAGCAGACAGGCAGACATCAAAGAAAAGTTGAACGTCTGAGTTCAGGTAGCTGTGTGAATTGTTCTACTTGAGAGCAGACCGGCAGACATCAAAGATAAGTAGAACGTCTGACTTCAGGTAGCTGTGTGAATTGTTCTACATGAGAGCAGACAGGCAGACATCAAAGAAAAGTTGAACGTCTGACTTTAGGTATCTGTGTGAATTGTTCTACATTAGAGCAGACAGGCAGGCATCAAAGAAAAGTTGAAAAGTTACAACAATCAAACGATTCGACCAAAGTCTTTATCAGTTATACAAATATTCCGAGGTACCTACATACGGAGACGAACTTAAACGAGTGCAAGGGGTGAGAACGGTTTAGGAAAAACATGGCTTATCTGGAGCAAATAATACTCAGCAAATGCCATTTTTGGTACGTTGTAAAAATATCCACATCCAGTTCTACTGTTATACGTTACACAAGACCCAAAGTCTAGTCCCCCATATGTCTGTATCCTGTTCAAACCTTTCTACATCATGAATGGAACAGAGACCACCACATGTGGTCTTTGTCAACCACGTTTGTCTCCGTTTTTCTCCTGGACCTTCTCATTGCCACATTCTATGTTTCCCATTACAGTGACTGTCTGGTGATTCGCTGTTGGTTTCTCATCACGAAGTACCCTATATTGTTATTTTCTTTGTCTTGTAGCAAGCCGCCATAGTGTATAGTATAGGCACTCACCCGTGGATCCCAAAGTCGTGGGTTAAAGTCCGGAAAAGCTGGATTTTCTTAAATGCCTTGATTCCTAGGTCGACTTTGCCTTAAATGCGTGCGAGGTAAAGTCTTGAGAAGTAAAGGTCTGATGCTGACCACATCACCCAACGAGTGCCGATAGGTCTATCAAATATAGGTCTAGCCCCATGTACCTAATACACATGGAGGCGTTGAAAAAATATACCGTGCTTTATTAATATCCTACCGCAAACAGGGAAAATCCACAGGTCACAAAACAGTCTAATATTCTAGGGGTTGGTAGAAAGGCGGCATGCAGTCGTGGGACCGAGGCTGCACTCCTTGTGGGTCGTAGGTGGTTTGGGTTTAGGGTTGGTTTAAGATGTTTTTTAGTCGTTAAAAGCACCAGAAAGCCAGGAAACCCAGTCTTATCACCCCTCTAAAATGATGGACTGTCCTGTGACGTCATCTGGGCGTAGGATATTATTAAAGCACCAAAAATTCTTCAACTTTACTTTGACTTACAACTAGTAAAGACAAACTTACTTTTGTAACAGAGAGCTAGGAGTAGAAGCAGTCTTGGTGACCAGTCCAACATACGAGCAGCAGTCATGTGAATGAGTGGCATCAATTTCTTCTTGGAAAAACCGGCCCCTTCATTTTCTAACTAGAACCACGTTCGATGTCACGGCGTAGACACCGTGGGATCAGATCTTCATCTGTAAATCCATAAGACAGTAAAGGAAAGATCCCTTTTTTCCATTTTCACGCCTAGGTGGATCGGGCATATGGAAAGAGCACCCATATTTTTTTACAGACCAATCGGCACTAGGTGGGTAATGTGGTCAGCATTACGCCGGCCGTCTCTTCTTCACCAGGACATACATCCTGGTACCCATTTGTGGCTGGGTCGGCCTGCGACGCCCCTTACCATGATAAAAATCCACGCAGCCAGCAGTGTGTTTTGATCGCGGACGTTGGAGTTACGAGTCGGACTCGCAACGCCCAAGCCACGGACGCCGCTATAAAACCCTGCAGTTGCCCGGCTCTCTAGCGGAATTGGCTAAACCGGATGTCCCGGAGACCGGGTGACGTACTCATTGTGGTCCGGGTTCAATCCCGGGGGTAGGCAGGAAAGCCACATTTTCTCCCAGATTTACGGTATTTACAATGGAATCAAGGCCGAAAGGTTGCGATATCCATAATACCGAGCCTAAGGGTTAACAACTCATGGCTTCTGGATACTAAAACAAACAACAACAAACCCTGCAGTTGTGGAATTAGTTCGTATTCACTTCTTATAAAGCCGAATGTTTTAACACATTGACAACTTTAAAACCGAATGTTTTGTCTCAAAGTCAGTTATTGCACTGATAGGTTTATCATAGGCATATTTAAATAACTTGTTGGTCTCATTATTAGGCAGACTGTTTAATGCCAGAACCAAGTATAAATCGCAATTTATAAAACAATTCGCGTGTCTTCTTTTAGAGAGTTAAATAGCTCTGTATTTTAATGGACAGATAACTGACAATATATTTTACGATCAAATACGTAGTCTTCTTCTTCGCGTTCACCAGCTGTACACTCTAGCGGAAAGTTCTGGTTGCTCGTCCACTAATGAACTGCAGTCCTGCTCCAGAACCTGAGTGTTGCGTGTGCATTAGTTTTACAGAACTCATTCTCTTGAATACAGACTGTTGGTTCCTTGCCTCTCCGGCAGATGCACTCCGACTTCAAAGGAAGCTCCCCAATTAGTCGACTCTTACGACATGCTTTTGGGGATACAGTGGGACTATTCTTGTTTTCCATACAATGGGGCCCCGGAACCCACACGGTGGAAATACGTTGTGAATTATATCATCTGTAGAAATATTTATGTAAACACCTGGCTTGTCTACAGCGAGTTTACACAATCACTTGTTTATTGTCCAGGAGAAACTATAAATTTTTCTTTCGGGTAACACAATTATATTAAAGCTGTTTCCTCACAGGGTAATTACTTCTTCTAATTACCAACTGTGAACAAAATAAAAAAATAAAAAAAATTATCAGAAATAATAAACAACATTTAAAAACAAAATTTGATTATTCTGAAAAGCGTCTATATAACTATTGCATCGCAAGTCGATCGGCTGTATTATCAAGACATCTTTTGATGAAACACATACACGCATACACAAACACGTACACACACACACACATTCACACACACACCTGGCCTGTTATGTTGCTGCTTCTTCAATTGGGTAACTGTTGTACTGTTTATACTTTTCCTAACATAAATTATTAGACAAATGTTTATGTTTTCTCCTTCTTCTTATTCTCCTCCTTCTTTTTCTTTTTCTTCTTCTTCTTCTTCTTCTTCTTCTTTTTGAGGATTCGAGCTCTTCAGCTTCAATGCTGCAGACATCGCCCACCTCTACTGCCTCAATGATGGACCTTCTCATTTCATTTTAGACCCTTGATAAGTCGGCTAGACATGATCTCTCCATCGTCTTCTTGGTCTGCCTCGTGTTCTGCGGCCATTGAACACCGGTATGTGCATAGTTTTTAACCTCTCGGTCATCTAGAGTTCTCTCAATACACTCTAGCCGTTACTGTCTATTAGACCCCATAATGCCAGTAATCAACAGTGATTTAAACAGATAATGAATTTCATTGCTACTTCTCACTCATCCTTTCCCTTGTGTCTGATTCTTTTTTAGTCCAAAGATTACTCGCATACCTCTATTCACAACTGTCTATTTATTTTATTTAACATTTACATATACGGCAACGAAAACTACCTTTAACCCCGACGGCACTTCCTGCATAACAATAAAATTATTCAACAAATTGCAGCTTTTATAGTGCCACTAGAAACAACAACGAACTCGAGACTTCTGAATGTTTGTGTCGTAACTACCGGAAATACTTAAAAACTAGAATGTGCGCAGCTCGTTACAGGGAACAAAGATATATTACATCGCATGCGCCCTAACGGCAGAATCAATAAACGGCTTGTTGTTTCAGATAGCTCATCATAACCAGGTGCCTTGCCGACAGAGGTGAACGATCATGCCTCTCCATAATCTGCGATCTCCTGCAGCATGTATAATTTCGTGTGCCGACACACATCCATGTCATGCAACAAGACTGTCAAGAATCTTCTTTCGTTGTCTTTCTATTCATTTTCCACAGATCTTACCAATTCTCACAACATGTTCCATTTACCCTCTTCTCATAACATGGCCGAAATATGATGACTGTCTCCTTCTGATATCTGTGATCAATTGTCTTTAGGCTTCTGTCTCTTTCATAACCTCTCGGTTGCTCTTTTTGGCTTTCCAAGGTATTTTGAACAGTCTTCTGTAAAAACACATCTCTGAGACCTCAAGAAATTGTTTGACCTGCCTACCGATTGTCCAGGGTTCACAACCATGAGTTAAAACTGGATGTATGTAGCAAGCTATAATTCTTTTTATTACCCTCAATGACAAAGATATATTGCATAAGATGTTCTTTAGTTGGTTACTGATTTTAAAGGTTAGGTTAATGACCTCAATGTCTATTGGACCAGCTTCACCTGAACGTGACACCTCAGGTGTTTTTGAACCTACGAGTATGTATGAATGTGTCTTTGTTTTAGTGTCTGGGCTTGTATTATTGTCAGTCGATGTATATATATATATATGTGTGTGTGTGTGTGTGTGTGTGTGTGTGTGTGTGTGTGTGTGAATTAAGGTGTGAGTATGCTTGGGTGTGTTTGTATAAATTCGGTGGTATGCATGGTGTATGTATGTGCACTGATGTTATGAATGTAGATGTATGAGTGTGTTGGTATTGATGTGAATGTATATCCGTGTATGCATGTGTACGGATGCCAGTATGTGTATGGATGTGATCTTGTGTATGTATGTGTGTATGTGTGTATATAGTTGGTTGTGCCTGTGTATGCTTGTGTGTGTGAGTGTGTATAAATAAATATATATGAGTATATTTAGGTGTACGCACGAGTGTGAGTGCTTGTATGTTTCTGTATGAGAATCATTGCAAGTTTGTATTTGTACGAGACTGTGTGAATGAATGTGTCTCTATGTATTTAAATACAGGAAAGTATGTGTCTGTGTGTGTATAGTCATGTAAGGGTATTGTGTATGTGTACGTGTAAATGTTTGAATGCGTATTAATGTCTATATATGATGTGTGTATGCCTTATTGCAGAAAGTATATTTTTATATAAAGGCAACATACATTACTGATAGAACGCAAATGTGACTTGAAAGACGATTTTGCTTGGAAGGGCTGAATGTAAGACGGGTCTGCGAGCCTATTATGTAGCCCTTTGAAAGTAAAACTCGTTCGTGCGTTTAACTCAGGCTCCCACCTACCTGTCTCTGTAATAAAAATAACGATATTAATCTAATGTGGAGCCTACTCTCTGCCACCCACAAAAATGGATTAAGGAGACTTTGCAGCCACTTAAACTATGTACATTAATTCATTTTGTTTGTTTTCATATATAAATATATATATATATGTAAAAAATTAAACAAAAAGGAATTAATTTACATATATACACTTATGCTATCTATAAGCTGTTGCAAAGTTAGGCTGAATGAAAAAAAGAAAAAAAAAAGAAAATAGAAATCGCACGTGTCTAATATGGTTAATGATGCAATCTTTGTTTTATGCACATATAGGCGATTGATGACGTTTTTGTACCATTATTAGATGAGGTATATAGCAGCCAAGATAGCTATTGGATGCAGCCAGTTCAATAAAGTCGCCAGCATCGATGGGATAACGGCTGAATCAAAAAAATGTGTTGAGGAAAAATTTTAACCATCTGATTACTCTATATATGTAAGACAACTTAGAAAGAAAGAACTGAGCCAAGTGATTCGCAAAGAGCCACCATACTGCCAAAATGGAAGAGAAAAAAAATTCAGTCACACCTGTCGATGCATCTATCGTTCAAGTCATGTTGGTAATATGTTTACCAATGTTTTGGAGCAACTAGTAAGATCCAACGGTCGTGCAACTGAATCTGAGTCCAGCACAGGTTAGGTTCAGGAAAAAGGGGGGTCGGGGGAGGAAAAAGGTGGGTGGGGGGTGTTCTCATGCTATAAGTGCCCTTATCAGTGCTAAGACAATAGAACACAGACACACACACAAAATATTGCTGTCAGAGGTTAATAGACAGCTTTTGGTATGGTAAATATATAATTACTTTCGGGAAGTCATAGACAAATATATATTTAAAAAAAAAAAAAAAAACATTGTAAAATTACACAAGAGCCATCTAGAGAAAAAGTAGGTTTCACCTGAACAAGAGCTGGCAATACAGACTGGTTTCCAATAATATCAGAAGACAAAGATGTGTTTGATCCCTCAGCGAGTGGCTGAGCGGTTAACAATTCTAGGATCTCATTTGTAAGACCAAAGCTCGCTAGCTTGTTTGGGAGTTCAATTTATTTAATTGTTTCTCTTAAATATATGGATGCGAGTCATGGACTCACTGAAAAAGAAGAAAACAATCTGAACCTCTGTAGGAAAATGCTACATAAACATCATTCTTAGAATGATGTAATGGACCAAGTACCCCAAATTGTTCCGATGTTCACTGTTTGAAGTTTGTACTTTTGTAATGTATAACTATTAAACTCTCATTACTGCTTACATTTACCACTATCGCGGTGTGGGCAAAAAATGAGATAAGCACAAGGGCTTCTTTGAGCCCGAGTATTTAAGGCCGCGTTGCTACTGTAGTCGCATGGATTTAAAAAAAACATTACCCTACTGGTGATTCAAACTGAGGCCCATTCTTCCATTAACCGGGGTTTCCCGCAGGAAAGCGCATCGTTGTTAACCGTTGCCCCAACCAGTCCTCTTAATGGTTGAAACAATTTAGATACTGGCTGGGTCAGTTAAGATAGAAACTAGAATAGCTGAGATGGTAGCTTGCAAAGTTGGAATTATAACTATGATAGTTGAGATGGGAGCTTGCACAGATGAAATTATAACATCGATAGTTGAGATTGGAGCTTGGATTATTGGCATGAGTTGAGTTGAGTGAAACTGAGTCAAGAATTGACATCACAGCACTCGGGGCATTCCCATACGTGCTATGTCCTCATCTTCAGCAGTCAGCGCAGAGTTCCAATACTGAAGGTACCGGTCACAATCTGGTTAAAAGTCTGTTTATCCTCTGAGTGTAGTGAGCCGGTCAGTCCCTTTGGTTACACCCAGGTGCCTCATCTCAACTATCGTAGTTCTAATTCCAACTTATTAAATGTTTTTTCGTTTTCATTTAATAAGCTGGAATTAGAACTACGATAGTTGACATGGGAACTTGCACAGTTGGAATTATAACTATGATAGTTGAGGTTGGAGCTTGGACAGTTGCAATAAGAACTATGATAGTTGAGATTGGAGATAGATCAGATGGAGCTAGCTGACATGGAAGATGTTTAAGATGAGGAATAGTTGAGATAAGAGCTGTCGCAGTTGAGATAGGAACTGGGATAGTTGCAATAGGAGTTTGGATAGTTGAGAAGAGAACTGGGATAGTTGAGATGGGAACTAGAATAGCTGAGATTGGAACTGAGATAGCTGAGATGGGAACTGAGATAGGAACTAGGATAGTTGAAATTAGATCTGGGATGATTAAGATGGGAACTGGGATATCTGAGATGGGAACTGGGATAGTTGAGATGAGATCTGGGGTAGTTGAGATGGGAACTGGGATACTTGAGATGGAACCAGGGATAGTTGGGAACTGGGATAGCTGAGAGATTGCGTAGATGACACATTGTTGAGATGATAGATTGTTGAGATGTGAGATAACTGAGATTGGAGATAGCAGAGTAATAATGACATAAAAGACGCACTGAAGATACACACGATGTGAAACCGCCTATTTGTGAGGTTCTGTCTATTGACAGCCACATATCTCCCACATTCAATCACTTGAAATACATTAATACTGAACACTAACTAACAAATATTTTTTCCAGACAGAAACAAAACTAACTCAACAGATCAAGGTTAACAGTGTTTGTATCTAGTCATTTTATTGCATCGTAATCTGGAAATAGAACATTTAATTACAGTTTGTCACATGAAATGTTTGTTGTGGCGAGCTTTCAGTGGCTTGAGACTGTAGTTTAAATTGTGAAAGAAAGTGGTAGGGAATTACGTCCAACTAAGGAAGGGATTAAGATAATATACATGAGTGCAGTTGTGGATATGTATGTATGTGTGTGTGTGTGTGTGTGTGTGTGTGTATGTATGTATGTATGTATGTATGTATGTATGTATGTATGTATGTATGTATGTATGTATGTATGTATGTATGTATGTATGTATGTATGTATGTATGTATGTATGTATGTATGTATGTATGCATGTGTGTGTGTATGTATGTATGTATGTATGTATGTATGTATGTATGTATGTATGTATGTATGTATGTATGTATGTATGTATGTATGTATGTATGTATGTATGTATGTATGTATGTATGTATGTATGTATGTATGTATGTATGTATGTATGTATGTATGTATGTATGTATGTATGTATGTATGTATGTATGTATGTATGTATGTATGTATGTATGTATGTATGTATGTATGTATGTATGTATGTATGTATGTATGTATGTATGTATGTATGTATGTATGTATGTATGTATGTATGTATGTATGTATGTATGTATGTATGTATGTATGTATGTATGTATGTATGTATGTATGTATGTATGTATGTATGTATGTATGTATGTATGTATGTATGTATGTATGTATGTATGTATGTATGTATGTATGTATGTATGTATGTATGTATGTATGTATGTATGTATGTATGTATGTATGTATGTATGTATGTATGTATGTATGTATGTATGTATGTATGTATGTATGTATGTATGTATGTATGTATGTATGTATGTATGTATGTATGTATGTATGTATGTATGTATGTATGTATGTATGTATGTATGTATGTATGTATGTATGTATGTATGTATGTATGTATGTATGTATGTATGTATGTATGTATGTATGTATGTATGTATGTATGTATGTATGTGTGTGTGTGTGTGTGTGTGTATGTATGTATGTATGTATGTATGTATGTATGTATGTATGTATGTATGTATGTATGTATGTATGTATGTATGTATGTATTTATGTATGTTTGTATGCATGCATGCATGTATGTATGTGTGTATGTATGTATGTACGTACGTATGTATGTGTGTATGTACGTACGTATGTATATGTGTGTGTATGTGTGTATTTATGTATGAATGTATGTGTGTATGTCTGTGTGCATGTATGTATATTCGTATATCATATGTAATATATGATATCATGTGTGTAATGTATGCGTGTTTGTATGTGAGTATGTATGTGTGTATGTATTTGTGTATGTGTGTTTGTATTTATGTATGTGTGTATGTACTCAAGCATAAATGTATGTGTGTATGTATTCAATATGTGACTATACATACAAGTAGTCTATCATCTCGTTTCATTGTCGTGTGTCTGTGTGTCGTGCATATGTGAATTTATATATATCTCCGTGTGTACATTATCGTGTGTGTTGTGTGTATGTGCGGGTGTGAATATATATATATGTCCGTGTGTACAGTATCGTATGTGTTGTGTGTGTGTGTGCGTACGTGTATATATGTTCGTGTGTACAGTATCGTGTGTTGTGTGTGTATGTGCGTATGTGTATATATGTTAGTGTGTACAGTATCGTGTGTGTTGTGTGTATGTGCGGGTGTGAAAATACATATGTCCGTGTGTACAGTATTGTTTGCGTTGTGTGAATGTGCGTATGTGTAT